AGTGAGGTCGTCGTCTTACTCTCTCGGATGCAGATGCGCGCTCTCATATCGCCGATCTGGATGTCTCCTACGAGGAGTTTGGAAGCCTCGCGTATACGTAATAGCGCACAAACTCCGATGATGAGAGCCGCGGTACTCAAGGTGCGCACTTGGTGCACTTGATTATGAAGGTGAGGCGTGGACTCCACAGTGTGAAGTAATAGTTGGAAGTTTCGTTTGGGTACTCCCATACGACCACCAAATGGATGTAAATTTGCACGAACTGCGTGAGTACACAAATTGGAGTGTTGGGAGGCGTTTAGAATTAATAAGTGTGAAGCAACGCATGAGAGGGACACATGCTGAGAGTATAAGAGCACGTAATGAGAATTTGTGGAAGAAATTTGAAAATGTGAGATTTTGACGCACGATTATAGCCGAGTAGCATAAAAGTATTAATGATTTTCACGACTTGTGCCGCACAAGTTGTGCGAATCCGTTGATTCGTTGTCGAACGTGGTAGCCTTCCGCGCGCCACAAAATTATCGGGAATGAATTTTCGCATTCTGGAATCCCGCTTTCTGGAACGTGTTTCAGAATGCATTCTGAAGTTTTCTGAACACGCTCGGAATCTATTCTGGGACTCTTTCCAGAATGTGTTTGGGGGGCTGTTCTCTGAACGCGATTTTGGTGTTTTGCATTCTGGAATGTGTTCTGAGTAATTGGTTCTCTGAACACCCCGACTGCATTTTCACTGTTTTGTGCAATATGCATGAAAAGATTATTCACTTTACCACGCGCCACGGAAAAGTTGTTGTCGTTCGAGTTTCCAGTACTTGAGATGAGTTGTCTTGTGTGATGCTTGAGCGATGGGAATAAGCCAGTTCATGAATCTACTACACCCTAGGGAGCTTTGTTGGTCGAAATTGGTCTTGTGTTTGGTGAATTTGTATTTTTTTGTTTCCAAAATCATAAATTTCATTTACGAATTTGAACTTTGAGTTTCGAGCGGTTTTCGGAATTCGAACTGTCATTCGGAGTTTGAACTTTCAATTCGTGGAAAAAACTCCTACGGACTCTACGGAAACAGAAGCGTTTGATGCTTTCAATCTGTCCTTTCTTCCGCTGAATTCGATACGCCATGCGCTGATAGGATGCATTTGGGGTGTATGGGAGACGGCATGTGTTGTAGTTGATGATTGGCCCCTCTTTGTGGGGCGTCGACTCTCCACGCTCATTAGCCACGCCCGTGATAGAGCAGCCTATCCCGATATGCGAGCACGGTGGATCTGGACTGGTACTGGAAGACCGTCTTATGGGGTATGTTGAAGGGAGTCATCCTCAGATACTGCCTTTGTTCGGGGACTCCGAACAGGACTGGCCCAACGGCCTCAGGGTGGTGCTCTATTTCCTTGGCCTTTGCTGGTGCTTTGTGGGCGTGGCTATTATCAGCGACTTCTTCATGGGGGCGATAGAGAAAATTACTTCTAAGAAAAAAAGAGGTAGATTTTCTCGCGCCCATCACCGACTCCCATACCTTCTTTCTCTCAGCTCGCCTTACAATCCAAGGCGAGACCAAGTTGGTGACTGTACGAGTATGGAACGACACTGTGGCGAATCTCACTTTGATGGCACTAGGCTCGAGCGCCCCCGAGATATTGCTCTCTATCATAGAGCTATTCAGTCAAGATATGTACTCGGGACACTTGGGGCCCAGTAGGCTGTCGTAGTTAGTCCTCGTGAGGGGGATCTCATCATGGCTCAGGTACCATCGTAGGATCAGCAGCGTTCAACCTTCTGGTCATCTCGGCGGTATGTATTATGGCTATCCCGGATGGTCAAGTGAGAGCTATCAACGACATTGGCGTATTTGTGGTTACGGCTGGCTGCAGTATATTTGCATATATATGGCTCCTCTTAGTACTGCAGGTAACGCAGTGTTCGCTCGCTATATACCTCGCTGAGGTTCGTCTCAGGTGTCTTCGCCGGACGTAGTAGACATATGGGAAGCGGTGGTCACTTTGGTGCTTTTCCCTGTCCTTGTGGTCATGGCATTTGCTGCTGATAAAGGTAGTACAATGCAGGATCGTTCAGGGTTGTTGGCTTGCTCTAGGTATGTTCTCGATCAAGACAAATGTAGCAAGTGCGCATCGTGACCATATCGTGGGTCTGGAGGATCTCAGTCCGGACGAGCTAGTGGATTTGATGGCTGAGGTGACCAGGAGGAGACGCTTCACCCACAGGAGAAGTGTCCATCGCAGATTCGTCAACGACATGGTTCAAGTCTCACTGACGATGCCGTGATGAGAATTATTCAGGCAGAGAGACCTCCGAGGACCACTCGGTAGGACTGCCGTGCTTCTATCGAGGAATCACTATCATGTCCTGTAGGGCTCAACATAGGATTCAGGCTAGTCGGATGTTGACGAGGAGGTCGGGTGCGTCGAAGAGATCCTGTAACCAATAGGCTTGTTCCATCGTTTATGTTGATCTGTCCTATTCAGCTGTGCGGAATTCTCTCCCGGCTCATCTGGTGGCCCTCAAAGGTGATATGGCGGTATAATCGTCCGGTTTCCTGATCAAGATTGGTTCAGATACGGTTGAGGCGGACGAAGATGCTGTTAGAGTAAGTGTTACGGACTGTTGAGGCAAGCC